GTAGCGAACATTGTTCCTAGTAGCGATGCCAGGAGCCCCTAGTAGCGTCCGATCGCTTCTAGTGGAAAGGAAACCTGACTTCTTTCCTTTCTTTCCTTTTACCTCTAAGATCTCTCCAGGCTCCTTCTTACTCATCGTACCAGGATCATCCAACAGCTGCGCAATACCATTCGACATCGTCGGGCTTCGATGGCTCGGCGGCTCAGCCGGCTAAACAAGCTTCGTTCGCTAAGCTTGGACCAAAGAACTGCTCACTGGGATAGTCTGTCAACTTCATGGAAACATGATGAAACATGTCTTATGACATCGTCCGCGCCGTCAACAGTCAACTTCATCAACACATACTGTCACATAGTCGTGCCAATTCAGCTTGCTCTTTGGATTCCTTTTCAACAAAGTACTTGCCCGAACGTCCCGACACTCAGCTCTTGCACACACGGTCGGCAGCCTCTGGGTCTGGCCCTCCATCGTGCACATGGCTCCACCGCCCAACTTCAGCTCGTGGCTGGCCTCCTGTGGAAAAGCAGCTTCAATGAATACCTCCCCCCAGTCAGAAGGGGCAAGTCTGCATGACTCACGATAGATCCTTTTCTCAAACAAAAGGCGGGGCTAAGCTGGTCCTGTGTAAAGGTGACACTGCAGCCTGAGCCTTTCTTTGCCCAAACTCCGGGGGTCGGCTTTCAATTTCTGCAAAGTCGCGAGGCAAACAGCCGATGAAATTGCCAAATGTCTAAAGGTTTTCTTGAAACAAGGCCTTGACAACGGGAAGCGAAAGTTCTTCTTCGCTTGCTGACTGGGCGCCAACACGCTGAAGGCGGAGCCGCAAAATGGCCTGCCCCTTTAGCATCTCGCATTGGTAACGACCTTGATCACGGGCTACCTCTTCAGGTGGTGGCCCATCGACGTTTCCTTGAAGCAGAACGGCTTCAGCTGTGCCGCTAAGTTGTTCAAGCTGCTCCAGTTGCTCAAGCTCATCTGGAGGCCCCAAGATGAGGCGCCGGGCGAGAAAGTCTGAGCCTTGGCCCTCGAAATAGGAACAAGAGACACGTAGCAGATTTGTTCTTCTCCAGTTTCTCGAAGGATCTAAAGCCTGTTGCAATCGCATGTGGATGATCGTCTGGTGCCACAACTTGCCTCAGCAATACTAAATGTTTCAGAGCATTCTGGATGATCCAAAGAGGAAACGTGTCGAGTGTCGACTGAATCGGTTTCAAACTCCACTGGCAAAACAATAATATCCTAGCCACAAACAGCGTTCACCAAAAGTTCACTCCAAAATCAGTCTTCGCTACTCACAGCCCGATGGTGCCAAGTGGGCAAAAACTCCGGAAAGCGGCGGCTCAGCTCTGAAGGCATCACCACGGGTACGATCCTCCTGACTCCCAAAGAACTGACCAAAGAACTGACAAACAAAGAAGAACAATGGTCCTGCTTGGTTTGCAACCTTGGCGCCGGACAAAATGTTCAAGAAACAGGTTGGAGGCCATCGCTATTAGAAACAAAAAAAGGGAATAAAGGTGCTATATAGTCATTTTGTTTGAGGTGTTGTTTTGCAAAGGCGGTGTATTGATGTGGTGCTTCAAGATGGGTGATGCGCAGCTTTGGCGAAACGGAACTCGGCAATGGTTCGCGCACTTTTCAGACGTACTTTTCTCCAACAATCTTTCCCAGGGTTTTCTACTTTAGTTCACTTTCTCCAGAGTTTAGACCTTTAATTGCACCCTCAAAACACCCTGTCACCTTCACTGATCTTCCACGGCCCTGACAATGTGTTCTGAATCCTCCAATTTGGATCTTTTGCGTGTTCAATCTGTCAATTCAATTCCAAATGTGGGCCATGCAACGATTTCCGAACACAGAAGAAACACGCTGACCAGCGCCACCCACACCCGCTGTGCACCCGCCTCGCGAGCCCCGTCATACAATCATTAGGATCCCTCCCTAGTGGTGATGGCCTCCACCCTAGTAGCAATGGCCTCCACCCTAGTAGCAATGGCCTCCACAGAAAAGAAAGTTTTGACAAGAAAGTTCCGAGTTGTGAAACATTGTGGACAAGTCTGTCGAGTGGGTGCATGGCGGGGATAGGGGCGCCATTGCTACTAGGCTGGAGGCCATCGCTGCTAAGCGTCATCTAAACCATGCCTTGGGCCCTTTCAGTCACGTGAGACACGCCGCTTGCGTGCTTGCAAAGACAGTTCTTTGCAGATTTGATTGGTCTGCCAGACGGTTCTTGACATTGTTTATTCCCTGCTTCAGGTTTCCCTGCTTCAGGTTTCCCTCCTTCAGGTTTCCCTGCTTCAGGTCTCGGTCGCAATCCAAAATGTTGATTCTGTGGAAACAGCTACAGCGGGCACAGCCTGCTCTTGCTTGCCAGCTGGCTCGTCGTCACGCTTGGGATGTGATATACTAGCGCTGGGGTTTAGTCACCCGGGTTTGCAGAAAGTCACCCGGCCGCATGGAAACGCAGCATTAGTCAAAAGTCACCCGGCTCGCGAAAAGTCACCCGTTTTATGTTAAAACACAATGTAAACGCTCTACGGAAGTATGTTTGTCAAAACTGTTATACATCAAGAATTCACTGCCCCTGCGCAGGAAAGAACTAGTTTTATGTCCAAGTTTGCAGCGTTTTGGTGACCGAACCCCGATCAGAACACAAGGTTAGGACTATCGTGAAGATTACCCCCTAAACATAGATGCAGCATGCTGAGACTACCCGAATCTTTTCTACTTGCTCTGGTCCGGCAACGTCAAGGTGACAAACCGCCAAATTGATCAATGTGTAGAGTTTGGAAGCTAGATGCAGAAACTGCGCCCCAAAGAAAGTAATGGACATCAAACTCACCCCATCCCAAACCTGTGAACACACAAAGGACGTGTGATCAATGCTTGACGCCATGTGATTCAACATTGGTAACTCAAACGATGTTCGATCGTCTCCCATGCCCTCGCCAAATTCTGCCACGTGTCACGTCAGGTTCCTCCTTGCAACCCCATCCGATGAGTTCTGCTAGTCGTTGCATGGCTCGTGCAAGAAGGTGCATTGGACAATCAGGGCTTTTCTCACAAAGATTGAAGAATGATGAAGAATGGACATCTTCCAAACTCTAGGATTGGCTTGAACTCAAGCACGGGTAGCTGCCTGAGTTTCCCGCTTCATGTCCAATTGGGTGAACAAAAATCTCATGTTGTTCAAGTAAGTGTGCATGGGTGGTGTGTTTTTCCATGTCTTCTGCTGTGGACTCATTTGCACTTGAGGCTCTATATAAGGGCTTCGAAACAAATCCCCGCCAGGTGTAGTTGCTTGGGTCTGCCACGGACCAATCAAAGTCATTCAAGATTCAAGATCTATCTTATAGTTTCACGTAGTTTCTACAGGCAAAGCATCTATGACACGGAAACGAAATCCAGAGCCCTCCAACAGCGACTCCACAGCCACACCTGGTCACCGTTGGGTTTTAGCTGGAAGGTCCGCTCCTGGTCTTTGGCAGATGTTGGCCGACCCCAAAGATATTGTATCAACACCTTCAAATGTAGAGCTGCTGACGGTATGGTCATAAAGGTCAAATACTCTTGGAAGGTCATGGCCGAGTCATGCGCGTGCATGTTTCTAGGTAGGGATTCCCCAACCTGGCGACTTGGAAAGGAAAGTTGGTTCGCCCTGGCACCCTCAAACCTCCACAAGGTCTGGGAATGCCTTTGCACCAAAACACTGTCCTGGCCAAGCGAGAGGGAGACGATACAGCAGTTTCCATCTGGAGTGTCCATCAACGGCTCATCCTCGGTGCCAATTCCGGCCAGCCAAAGGGCCAATAGGCAATAGGTGAAGTATGGTGAAGTGCAGCGTGTTGAGCTGAAAATAAACATGTGATTGACCGGCATATCCTTTCCCAGTCACGGATGAATGATCCAGTGAAATTGTCAAATTGTCTGGAAGCCACACACTTGAAAAGGAGCTTGTAAGGGCATATTTCAGACTGGTACCAGAGATGCATTAACACTTTACGATCTAGTTACTACATCAGCCAACTAGCGCAAGAGAGCTTGATGTGTCAATGGCCCTGAGCAAATTGAAGGTAAGAAAGTCAGAAACAACATTGTTTAACTCGTTCAACGCAGGTACGTCCAGAAGGCGTCTCTTCCAGATATCATGACCGTACTATCACTGTCTTGGTTGAACATTGAGTGATGGCGGTCCACTTCCGCCTTGCTATCGAATTCATCATGCGAACTGAAAGAGCGCGCCTGGAAACGGGGTTTGACACACACAAGGAGCTGCTTGCGGCGTTCTGTGCGAAACCGAGCGTGGCTGCCGACCTGAAGCAACACCTAAAGAGCCTTGAAAAAAGAGAAAGAGCGAGAGAGAGAGACAGAAGAAAAAAGACCGAAAAAACAAAAAGCAGAAGCAAGAAAGTAGCGAATGAATTATCCAGTCTGCTGCTCGATGCAAGGAAGAAAGTGGTCCTTTACGACCAGTGTAAAGCCGAAACCAGCGCAAGTGGAGGGCGGATAGTTGTGCGGCTGCCAGCTGCGCAGTTTAAAGGCCCAGGCACGCCACACACAGCAATCCAGAAGGGTGTATAGGTGTATACCCCAGCGGAAGGCCAAGGACGTGGCATGTTGGCAGTGTGGCTGGTGTGGAAAGATGGGCGTCTGCCGACCTAAGCTACGACCATAACCAGTCTTTGGAAGCAAGGAAGCAAGGGAGGCAGGCAGGCAGGCAGGGAATGAATGAATGAATGAATGAATGAATGAGTGAAAGAACGGAAGAAAACCAAAAGAAAGCCAAACAAAAATCAAAGCGGCAAATGCATGAATCCCTGCAAAGTCATTGTAGAAATGAACCAGCAAGCTCTCCAGCGTAAAATACATCAGGAGTGCCGAAGGGGGTGAAATTGCGCCGGAAATTCTTGGGTAAAAAACATAAGGAATGAAATGGAAGTCCTCCGAGTCCAATCACCCCTAGGAAAAGGTTACGCAGCGTTAGCCACAAGCAGGTCCCTGGGCTTGACCGCAGAAGAACAATGTAGGCAATGACAACAAGAAAAGAAACTTATGATTGCTACTAATTACGTTCTTTGGGCCGAGCAAAACGTCCAAGTCATCATGGGTGAGTTATTGGACTTGATTGCTACTCGTCTTGACCCGACTTCCCGCGAAGCCCCGTCGCTCAGCGGCATCTGCATGCCAGGACAACGCATCAGCGTTTACATACAGGTTCACGTTGCAGGAATTCGGCCACTCCTGCATCCCAACAGCAGGGCATCCAAAAAATTACATTATACAGTAACTGTTGTGTAGTAGCGCATATTCAAGGTCCCAAGCCTTATTTGGATTCAAAGGGGTGAATGGCCTGCAGCGGTCTTGACAGCTGCTTGTGAGCGATCCAACACACATACCGCAATAAGTCTTAGTTCTTAGTTTCCACTGCCACCATATTGGTTCAACACTGTTCACGTCCATGCAGAACGACTCAAGCGGAAAATTGGTAGAATCTTGTCAGTGAGCACTCCTCCTCTGACAGGCCACAGAGTGGCATGACCTGCTGAAGCAGTTCGTGCATCCAGTCCGGAAACTGCTTTGCTTTCACCACCTGCGCGCACCGATTACGCTGCTATACGCCCTTTCCGAAGCTTCAGAATGACGCAGTGCTAGATTGAAAGCAAATCAAACAAACCCGGGAAGACCTTACTGAAACCACGTTCAAATCGTAGAAAAAAACCCAAAATAGCATGCAATCAAGGGACTGCGCCGCCGTAGTTGTATGGGCATGTGCAGCCCTCTCGCACCAGCCACTTTGTTCCCCGAGACATCACGCCCAAGCTTCCCAAAGGTCGATCCTGGGCTGGCCATGGACAATAAGCTCTTTGTCAATGCCTAAAATGGGATAGCCTTCTTAGTCAACAAGCAAAAAAAATGCAAAAAGTTTTCTGTCAGCATTCTCCACTCGACATCCATACCCTGGTTCAAAGCATTCATGATAAAACAAAGCTCCATGCCATAAAACCGAAGCTCGGCCAATGCTGTTCACCAAGCATCCCAGCCACCAAGGTCTTCAATCCCTGTGTTGACACGTTTCAACCAGTAGGTGGCCCATGCCTCGAGGGGCCAACGTGCTGAAGACGTTTTGACAATGCACAGAGGCACCACCCAAATTCTACTCCTAGATGGACAAAATATTCAAAATGTCTCTCCAAATCTCAACCAGTTCATCCTTTCGGTCTGAGTCCACCGAGTGTTGTACATTTGACAGCAAGCAAGCAACCATTTTACAGGATCTGGAGCACTGCCTGTTTGTCACATGGCTCCGTCAGCGTTGCGACTTTGTCTGCTGGCAATGAAGCCACGTAGCCTCACATCCGAAGTTGCATCTGTGAAACAGTAACTGTAGGTCCTTTCTCGTTGTGCTTCCGTTCCAAGCACCCAAACTTCTGCCTGTTACAGCAATGGCGTTTTGAATGCTTGATTCCTATGTCGTGTCCGATCAACGCGTTTCGAGTGACTGTGGCAAAACCAATCGACCGCAAAAACACACAAACCTCAGGAGCCGTAGACTCTTCTGAAGTGATGAAATTGAAACCAAAGAGCAGTCATGCGCTTGCAGCACGTAGCTCCATGGGACATTCGGCGCTTTTTGCCCGATCAGGAAGGGTGGCAATCTTCCGTCAGTTCTGGGACGGGGACCTCGGAGTCGGTCACTGCGATCGGAGAACAAACAAGTTGGTCACTGGTTTGTTGCTGAAGCTTGTTCTCCCTGCCAGTGGAAAACACCCAAATGTGATTGCAGCAAATGCAACAAAAGATACGATTTACACCCGAGGTTCCCTCTGGTAGTGGAGGCTTCGTCAGCACCAAGTCAGAAAACCAGCCACCACTGCCTGCTGCATCACCAACTTTGACATGGGTGAAAAGGATTGAAAAGGCAAGTTCAGGTCTCTTCCAATAGTATTGTGCCTCTTATCTAGGAAAAGTGAAAGGCAAACAACTCAAATCCTTCGTCAGTCAGTCGGCCTTCCCGCAAACGTCCATAGATCCAACCGCCTTCTTGTCTCTCAATGTAGAACTGGTCACCCTTCCTTCAACGGTTCAATGAAAAGGAGAGCGATTCCGCTGCACAACGTTTGCCGTCTCCACTGTCTGTCAGTCACTGTCCTTATTCTCAGTTGGTTTGGCTGCTCCGGCAGCCAGCCACGTTCTGCCAAATGCAAGGCAGCCTTTTTCTCCACACTTTGGTCCTGAGGTTGTTCTGCGCACAGCAGTTTGCTGTCTCCATAATGCCAATTGCAATCTTGTACCAATCCATAGGACATGCCCCAGAAATAGAAACCAAAATAAGATGCCAGGAAGTCCCCAGACGAACCATGTTTGCCGTTTGCAGTGTCGGCGTCTCTCTGTTGGCAACTTGGTCTGATTTGTCACAACAAATAGATTTTGGGGGATTGGCAAGGAGATCTTGAGCAGCAGCTTGACTATCCCCTTTTCGTCACCTCTCCTGGCCACAATCACAAGGTTCGGGGAAGGGAAGTTCATAGGTTCATTACTATATACAAATAGATGGCAATCATAAGCACCAAATCATACAATGTGCACTACTGAGTACTACTCTCAAGTACTTTAGTCCTAGGCCCAGGAAATGACGCAAAAAGACACCCAGTACTTGTTCCTTATTAGATCGTATACGAACTTGTTCTCTCCACATCTTCACCATCCAAAGACCCAAAGCGTCTCAGCCACGCTTCAGCATCACGGCTCAGCGTCGAAGTGGCACTGAGCCATCCTTGTTCAGCTGATTCAGACTCTGCAAAAATCCACCTGAGTTGCCCGAGTCTCTGCAAATTCGGAAAAGATAGTAAAGACAGAGCAAAAAAGCAAAATATGGTAAAGAACTGATGTCCCCTATAAGCACTTCTCATGTTTGGGTTCAGCAAAATGTAAACAAAAACTCTATTAATTGGTTGGTGCAGCTCCGATACCCCTCCTCATCCGCAGAGCCCACATAAAGCACTTTGATTTTGGTGCCTGGTCTTACAGAGAGGTAGCCGCTGTCAGGAGGTTGCCTCACCTTGCACAAGTCAGAATGGAGTACCTGTGAAATCCTCATATCATACAACAGGTGAAGATTCCGATTTCTTTGATTTCTTGGCATGCCTCCTACAATATCAGTGCCAAATCAAAGCTTTAAGTTATGACAGAGTCTAAAGTTGGTCATGTTCCCCTGTACCTGGACCATCTCAGCAGCTTGGTTCAATAGCTCAAGCCAGCTTTTTGCACAATCACCAAGTCAATAAAGGCATTGAGCATGTCTCCCCGAAGTCAAATATGATCCTTTTTTAGAGGGGGTTAGGCCGCTAAGAGGAAGGAGGCTCTTAGCTAGGTAGCTAGTAGAAGCTAGGTAGCTAGTAGCTTAAGTAGCTACTATTTAGGATGCAGGACAGCTCACACTTCTTCAAGGAAGCTCCCCCTTTAGGGCGGGGGAAACTTCCTTGAAGAAGCGCTCGCAACATGTTCCAAGAAAGCCTGACTGTCCTGAGTCCTCATGCCTCATGCTTGACCTCCAACATGGCACCCACAGCGAGGGGAACAGGCGCATGCACCATGGCGCTGAAGCTTCAGGCAAAATATGCAAACACTGGTGGCCTTCAGCAAGCTGGTTGCTCTATCTGCGACTCAAAGCAGGTCTGCGTTGGTCCGTTAATTAGAGTTTTAATGCTGATGTGGGAAGTAGCTCGAATGAAGGTTGGGCTGACAATCTATAGTGTGACCTTTTCAAACAGGTCCAATTGAGAATCAATCAGGTTTCGACGATTTTGGCAAAGTTCCGGTGACCCAATTTTGGGTAGATCCCTACAGTAATTGCAATTCCATAAACAGGGTGCGCACATATTGTATTTCTGCATCGTCTCGCTCGAGCAAATGTAAATGCCTCCCGTAGACTCCAAAGACTCCCGTAAACTCACTCAGAGAGGCTTGATGACTTCCAATGTCGGCTAAGGCATCGCCACAGAACGCCCCAACGCCCCAACGCCCCAACGCCCCAACCAAGCCTGGTTGTTCACGACCTGAGGCTGGAGGAACTCGCAATTTTCCAGTTAGTCGCCAGCTCTGAGCCCGTGGCAAGGCTTGTAAGTTGAAAATGCAAAGAGAGTGTGAATGGCAAAGTGTGGGCGAACACAGCATGTCAAACTTCACGGCATAAAACACACACTTTATTGGATATTTTAATGGGCAAGCCAAGACTGTCGGAGTTGGCCCAGGAGCTATGTCGCTATGTGACTGACAAGGATGCATTTGATCATCAAAGAATCCTGCACGGCGACCATCTCAATGCATACAATTTTATGGCCTGCAACCTAATAGCAAAAAGAACCTGATGGCCTCCAACCTAATAGCAATGGCCTCAGGCCTACTAGTGATGGCCAACCTAAGCAATGGCCTCCAACCTATCAACCTAATCGCAATGGCGCCCATCCTACAATTTTATGCCCTTGCACACCTTCTGAGGCTGGTTGAATGTCCAGTTCCACATTTCATCATACAATCAGTTGTTGACATATTTGGTTGCTTGCTTTTGACAGTGTTCTTGCTTTTTGTCATTGACCTTCAAAACTGTCCAAGCGTGGCCAAGTATCAGTGATAAATACAGAAAAATGGGTTGCTTTGATTCTTTAGGGCCACGTGAGCTGTTGATGAAAAAATATGTTTGTTGCATCGTTTTGTTTTGTCAAAACATGCCCCACTTGCCTGAGCACAGGCGCCAAAAGCTGTGGCAGCAATAAGGTGGAACCGTCTCTTTGATGTTGTGTTTGGAAGGAGTAAAATCAAGGGGGCTCCTGGTTTGGTCTGGGAAGGAAGCTGTGTCTGATGACTCCACTGCAAGGCCAATGCATGACTTCGCACTTTCCGCTTTCACGGCTGCAGACCACGCTAGCAAATACCGCAATGCAAAGCCACTAAGGCCCAGGCAAAAACAATTTTCGTGGGCTGCGAGGCTGTGGTTGAGGAAAACAGTTTGGACAAATGGACGTGTGCTCTGCAAGTCGGACACCTTTTGTCTTCAAGAGATTATGGAAAAGCGGGGTGGCACATTCATTGAGGGCATTGACTATATAAACGACATATGATGACAATCTTGGCCACAACAATCTCAGCCACAACACTGAGAAGTCACAGGCAAACACATGTGAGTGAGAAAACGACCGGCAGGATTGTCATCTACTGGTGCATGCAGGCGAATTTATCTAGTTGACCCACAAAGCTGGTTCTGCTTTGTTGGGATTGTTGGCTTTTTGTTATATAATGAAGCAACAGCTTGCCGTCTTTGCTGAAGTCAAGCGCACTGACACACTGATGTTGATGACTGAAGGCGAGGCGGGTCAATCTCGGGGTTCACAAAACAATAGCTGAAATGCAATCCTTGAATTGAAGACAAGCACACCGGCCCATGTAGTCAAGAATTCCAGGGGCCATCATGGATGCTGCGAAAGCACTCCCTTTGTTAATCTTCTCAGTAGTTCGATGATCTGTGTCTGGATTCTCAACCACGTGGGCCAGGCTCGAAGCTCCATAAGCTGGCAAAAATTGAATGGCTTTCCACAAGGTCCCTCTACAATGTGATGCCTGGCGCCAAAGTTCAGGAGAAATTTGCAGAATTACAAAATTCTTATCTGTCTGATGCCCCCTCATGAAATGACATGAAAGTATGAACGTTTGTCTAAAATGCATATTACAACCTATTGGTCTGACAAATAACATTTCTTCTACAAGCCTGCGCTTGATAGGTTCAAGAAGCGAGATAAAGCCTTGTGGCGCCCAGCGCCATTCTCATGGAAGTCGATCTAGTCCAAAGTCCTGAAGTCACAGCCCTTGCATCTTTGCCCAAACTTGCCAAGTGCTGATTCAATGGGGCGGCTTTATTGAGACCTAAAACTGTTCCAGGCACAACAAATGTCATCGATTGAACGTATGTTTGGCAGCTTGCCGCTTGCGAATGAACTCAAAAACTTTATCTCGCATCTAGGCAACCCCACATTGGATCAGGCTCCGAATCAAACTCAACAAAGGCAAAGATTGCGTACCTCAGGCCAACACCCCAGCACAGCTTGAACCCGAGGCCTGCTTAGTTGAGGCATAATAAGGGCCTGCAACATGGTGAAGCTAGCTATGAACCAATGTGAACTGAATCTCTTGAAAAGAAAACTGGGACAAATGTTGTCAATACCGATACCACTACAAAGCTTTAAAGCTCCACTTCCTCGAAATGTGAGCCTACCAAACGCTTTGTGGTCCCTTTGAGACCCGCGGATATATCTGGGTCACATAATCACTGAATAGCCCTGGGGCACAAGAAGAGTC